TGCACAACACCCACGTTGTGAGTACCCATTCGAGTTATGCAGTCTTCCCTTCTCAGACGTTGAGATAATTTATTTTTCCCAGCAGGGGTCCCCTTCCCAATGATTCTGGAATTCTCCAAATTAGGTGGAACTTCCCTACTTATTTCAATATGCTTTCCATCCTGAATAGAATTTGCAAGAAGAAAAATAGGAGGACAGGGCTTGGTATCAACCACAATGCTTTTGCATGCTCTGTTTCAAGGTAACCTATTTCCCCAGAGCATCCAATTATTAAATTTTTTCTTGGCCAGTGAGAGAAGAGAAAACACATAGATACTTGAGATTCTTATAAAACTAAAGATACTTTTCTATCTCCAGGACTTACAGGTGCTTATTTAAATTTGGTAATCTGAGACAATGAATTTGCGTGGAGCATTGGAGATTAATGGTTGTGTTCTGTGAGAGGTGCCATTAGCCTTTAGAAACCCAGATGTCTAATGGGAGTTTCTTCTGGGGAACTTTCCATGGCTCTTTCTGTGACTAATGAATGCACAGCACGATTTTATCCGGGTGGAACATTTTAGCCTTTACCTTTAACAAGTTTCTGCTCAACAGATTTGATATTTAGAATTCTGCCTCCTCCATGCATCTGATTCAATAGCCACCCATCCGGCCTTTATAATCAGTTGCTCACTAGGAGAGTCTGTGGTTTCAAGGCTGTACAGAGCCAAAGGAATCTAACATTTAATTTAAAATTATGGAAAAGTATCAGGATGTAAGGAAAGAAGGAATACATCACTTATAAGGTCTCCTTCCATGATGCTCGAGTAGGAAGCTGTCCCTTTCTCGGGGCATTGCATGGCACACACCTAAAGTCCCAGGTCCTGCTGCCTTGGTCTGTGTCTTGGAGACCCCGTGGGTTTATGGGGCTCTAAAAAAATTGTGGGCATGAGAAAAACAAGGCAAATGAGGGACTGAAGGGCATGTCCTGGTCAGTGATGATGGTCATTATCAGCATGCTTTTGATGTGCTGCTTATCTTTGTGACAGCAGCCAGACTCCAGAGGCTTCACAGTGCCCCGGATAGGGCCCTTCCATGGTGCCACTGCCGTTTTTAGTATACGAGGCGCCATGGACCATGGGTCCGGACGTGGCTGCGCTGTCCTGCTCCAGAGGTCACGTTCTTTTCTTTCGTCCCCTCTTCTATCCTCCTCACCTCCTGCTCTGTGAAGGAAAGAGTGGTGAACAGGACTGTCAGGTGAATAAGATTCAGCCCCACCTCCAGCCCATCCCTACAGACGGCAGGAAAACTGGAGGCCTCCTGGAGGTCAGGTGGCAATTCTGAAGGCAGCCAGGATGAAAACGTGCTGGACCGTGATGCCCCACACTGCCAGGGAAGCGTGAGATGTCCGTCCTGGTTGGTCAGTGCTCTATCGCCTGCCTCTGCCAGCTGCCCCTGGTGACCACTCCTGCAAGGAAGTGAGGACCAAGCCTACAAAGTGACCTAGTTGCCTCTACCTTTCATAATCAACAATTAGGGAGTATTTACAGGCCAAGACACAGGGCTCAGCCCAGTGCTAGTGGATAGGAGGCAGGAGGCAAAAGTCAAGGAAAGCCCAGGATGAGCCAGAATGCTGGGGCGAGAAAAATGAGGCATCTTCAGACAGATGAGGCAGAGGAAGAAGGCTACCCTGGGTGGGGGGTAAAGCAAGGTGAGGAGACAGAAA